AATAACCTACCTTGTTTCATAGAGGAGATAATCTACCCGAGCTTCTGATAAAAGTATTGTAAAACGTATAAAAAAAATCTTTAATTAATTGTGTAACGATCTACAAACTCGGGGCACTCGGGACGTTCACCCTGTTATAGTTGGCAACTGATCGATTTTCATATCATGTGATTAAATTTGTTGATTAGCCAATTAGATTAAAGAAATCAACACGGATTAACCCGAACAGACGGAATATTTTGGAATAGAACTAGTTGAAGATTTAATCGATTAGTTGTTTTAAAATTTTTCTAATCGATTAGTTGGAAAGTTGGCAACTAGTTGATTTTTCAACTAATTTGGATCACTAGTCCACATGTCCGCTAATTAATCGACCTGCGCATTATTTCGAATACGCCCATGTGCATTATTTCGAAATAAAAGAAGATTTTCTAAATTCAATATAGTCGACCTTCAATAAATGCACGTTGTTGAGTAATAAAATATTCATTATGGAGAATAATCTATATATAATATTAAATAATTACATTAGACCGGTCAAATTATATGCAGTTATCATTGTAGAGAAAGTACATGTGAAGTGCACTTATAGAGTGTGCGCATATGGAGATTTTGAATACGCCCATGTGCGTTATTTCGAAATAAGAGAAGATTTTCTAAATTCAATATGGTCGACCTTCAATAAATGCACGTTGTTGGGTAATAAAGTATTCATTATGGAGAATAATCTATATATAATGTTAAATAATTACATTAGACAGATCAAATTATATGCACTTATCATTATAGCATGTGAAGTGCACTTATAGAATGTGCGCATATAGAGAGTATCGACTGTATATCGCATTAGGATGAGCGTTAATTCAGGACGCACATGAGCACTAATTCGAGACCATATAAGTTATTTTTGAAGGATTCCATTTTCAAAATAACGTTCAGAACATTATTTCGCGCTTATACGATAGCCAATAATAAAACTCACCTACCATTGTGACTTCAATGACATTGACAATCTATTTAATTGTTCGGATAAAGTTTAAAAACCTAATGTTTCAAGTATATAAAAAACTATCCGAAATTTCTATAAATCAATTAGAACTTTAGCGTTTATATTTTACTATACTTTACTATTTTCTACTTAACCGTCTCTAAGTGAAGTATACTTACATAGAGTAGTACTTAAAGCTTCGTCTGGGAAGAGCCTTCTAGTGTACTGTATTATAAATTATGGTCATATTTTTGTAAAAAAATTTTACCACATAAATTCAATTGCATAAAATTGAGGAAACCTATATATTAGAGTAATGGCTCGTCTCGGCTTGAGGTTGATCGGTTTGTAAACGGCTCAGCTCTGCTTGATGAGCTGAAGGATCGGCTCGGCTTGATCGCATCACTACTTATAATAACAGAAAATTTTAAAAACATAATAAAAACATTTAAATATAGATGTGTTTTATAATAAACTTTTCGTTTTTTAATTTAGATCCAATAACTATTGTATTTACATTAATTATATTTAACTTTTATTACAGTATTAAACCAAAATAAATAAATAAAAATAAATAAAAATAAGAATAAAGTTGGTATATTGTTTCAATCAACTTTTAAATGTTTCAAAAATCTGTCTTTAATTATAGAGTGTGTACTTTAATGTTTTTGATTTGCCATATCTAAAAAAAGTGATTTGAGTGTGGGAAAAACTTTGAAATATGATCAGTTATGACAATTACCATTCTAATGTTAAAAAAAATTGTGCTTAGAGTAATTATCTATGTACAATGCACAGTTTTCAAATCGCGATTTGATTAGCTAGATATTTTTATTGGCTGGTCAATTTCTGCGCATGATTTTCTGTACTAAGTAGCTGCGCGCTAAACCAGAAACGGATGAATGTAAGCTTAATTTAGAATATGTTGGTCACCAGAATAGTTATATATACCATACCTATATTGAGACTAAACAAACAAGAAATTTATAAGATCTTAAGATGTATATAATATAGAGTGTAAAATACTTCTTTAAAAAACATATACAATCCACTAATAATTAGCGCCAGAACAGATATTAAATAGGGCATTTCACACCCCCATATTGTACGCTAAATGAGACGTGAACAGCTCATATTAAATACTTAGACCAATTAGACTAATAAATAATCGCTAAACTTAGAGAATAAGGATGCTCTAAATGTGATTAGATAGCTACTAGGATAATACATAAGTAATTTTGCTGAGAATCATAACTCGAATGCGGATAATAAATTTCAGCCAATTAGAACAAAAAAGGTAGTTTCAAACTTTTTTTCATCGAGATATGAACCTACTTATCGGTTAAACTACTTTCCACCAATTAAAAATTGAGCCCCGACCTAATTTATATGCTTGAGAGAACCTTAAATCAATATGATAAAATTTTAAGCGAGAAATTAATTAATATATTGATTGATAATGCTCAATTGATTAAGTAGAAAAGGTTCTAAGATACTTAATTAAAATATCATGTGAAAACCTGACATTATATGACGAAGAGTTTTGTAACCAATTTCAGCCTATTAAAGATTTTAGAGCCGTTCAAAGTTGATTATTAGGTTATCCTTATGTCAAGCAAATTTCGGCCTGAAGATCACTTCCGGCCTAAAAATTTGGGGTCGTAGTATATCAAAAATTTCCCATATACTGTACTTAGTATATAAAAATACTCCCTATGACTAAAATTTCGTGCCGAAAACTTTTTTTTAAGGTTGGAAGTTAGTTGGCATAGTAAAATTTCGCGTTATTTACAATTTCTTGCATTTTCTTACGTTTTTTGCGTTTGTTTTGTTACACAATATCCTGTAATTTTATTGGATCCGATCTACAAAATTTATGATCGGAAGTGATCTTCAGCCCGGAATTTGCTTTACACTGAATTTCATATGGCACGCCAATCAAATTTAATCTGATGATCTGGATCAAAATCAATTAAAACAAACTTCTGTCATGCTCGTTCGACTAACTTTTTGTCTGAGCAAGACACAAATACACAAGTAACCATGTCTACTCTTCCTACAATTGACGAAACAGAAAAATGGAATACAGAAAAGATAATCGAATTTTTGAGTGATCAAAATTTAAATCTTACGGAAAGTGATTTCGAATTTTTTCGTAAACAACGTATTGAAGGCGAAGAATTCCTTGACTTGACTCAGGAAGAACTTCAAGGTGGATTGGAACTGGGACCGGCAAAAAGAATTATGAAATTAATTAATAAAATCAAAGTCGAAGGACAGGGTAAGTAGAACCACGACTATTCCAAACCTATACTGCTTTCTCTAATGTGAACGTTTTTTGCTATACCAAAATTTCTTGCTTTAATTCATTGCCTTGTTTTATAGACCTCACTTTGAACCTTAAACACTTACGAGAAAATGGTAAGTTTGGAAGTATATAAAAAGACTTACCCTTGAGCTTACATCTAAATAGGTCATTTCCAACAACAGATGATTCTTTGTACTTTTCGGCCCTTAAACTGCTCAGGGTGGGACCCGAGTTCATTCCACCTCGCACAAATTTATTGGAATATATTCAACAACCGTTTATCAAACCGATTGAAGTTCATCCAATCAATTATAATCTTTACTTTAAGTCGAAGCTCGATCCAGACGCCTTTGATAAATTTTTTGTGAACTCACTCAACGCCTCCTCGCGATTATGGTCTGAATATCTCATACAAATTCCTTGTCCACCCAAATTTGGTCTCACTGAAGACTCTTTTCATTCGTTCTGGGATGCACTTATTTTTAAGCCTTTTAAAATTGCATGTCCATCTGGAAACTTCAATCGAAACTCGAATTGCCATACTTATACAAAAAGATTTCTACCTGACTTTTCTTATTTGGTATTTGATGCTTGTCTTGCGAGAGGAGAAAAAAAGGGTCCTGACAATAATGATAATCCAGCGGCTGAGTTGATCTCAAAATTAACGTGGACATATGGCAATTGCCCCTACATTTTTGGGTATTATGCGCATGGTACCGTGGTAACATATTGTTATTTGTATTTCGAAGAAAACCAAGTCAAGCGGAAGGACCTAGTTACTTGTTTACTGGAAAATCTAGAGGGACGTATACAGGCTTTTAATATCGGAATAAATATCGGTCGACTGCTACCACTACTTCGTCAAACCCTTCCAGAGTAGTGTTCTGACCGGGTCACCCGACCCGACGGGTCACGGGTCAGAAATTGCTCTAACCTGGGCCAAACGGGTCAAGATAAGGCCCCTGAATGCACTCATTTGAACCTCCGCGGTGATAATATGAAGTCATCACATATGTTTATTAGTACAAAAACCTGGATCCGTACAAAGTTACACTTATGCTCAATAGTACTAAAAATTCAATCCGTGCAACGGGGTCCGATTAATGTGATATCTCCGTATTCAGGGGCCCTGTCAAGATTCGGGATAGTAAAAAAAATATTTTTTACAGCTATTATCATGATTCCTGAAACGCCTGATAAAAATTAGCTGGATGATTACTTGGCCGATTCGGTTAAGTTAGTATGTTCCATTATATAATAAAAATAATAAAAGCTATTTTTGTATTACCCGGCCAATTATTATAACAATAATGTCAATGTTATTGAATTTTCGTTCCAACGCTTGTCCAACATGCTAGGTGTGTTTAGTTTACACGAAAATTTATGGAAAAGACTGCTCGTGTCAACCAATAAACCTTAGCAAGAAATCTAAAAAAGGGACGGATATAAATTAGACTTTTATAAAAATATATTACGCGAACATGTGCCGCTATTAAAAAAGTTAAATATGATTATGAATTTGTCGATTAGTTAAAAATGAATCTCAGGTTAGGATTCCAAGCGACCAAGATATTATTAATGTTTGTCGAGAATGCATGAAGAATTATCAAAGTAAAAAATTTTATATGATTATATTTATTTATATCTTGAAAAATTTTAGTACTAACGTTCAAAAACGGGATCTAAAATTAAATGAAGTGGATTTAAGAATTAAAGATTGTCCATCTGAAGCAGATGGTTTAAAAGACTTGCTGACACCTAAGTGTTTAGCAATTTGTCGAACTAATAAGCCTTCTAAATTTTTTTCAACGATTCACTAGCAAAGGTGCTTTGTAAGTGTAAGGGTGGTGCGCATTTCGCCGACAATCACTTCACCGACAATTAATTCACAGACAAGTTCATTTCACCGACAATTATTTCACCGACAACCTTTCACCAACAAAGTACATCACAAAGTTGTTTTTATGTAGAGTTATGTAGATATTTTACGTATATTTTATTTAAAAATTCTACATAGATCTACAAACCCAATGTAGACTTACATAGTTATAATTTATACATAAATATAATTACAAATGATATTTATTTAATAGTTACGTAAATTTTAACGAATGTAACGATTATATAAAATTTATTTATAAAATTGTATAAAATTATAAATAATATTTATTTAATAGTTACGTAAATTTAACGAATATAACGATTATATAAAATTTATTTATATAACTGTATACAATTATAAATAATATTTATTTAATAGTTAAGTAAAATTTAACGAATATAGCGATTATATAAAATTTATTTATGAAATTGTAAAAATTATAAATAACATTTATTTAATATTTATTTAAAAATAAAATCCATATAAAATTTACCTAATCAATTATGTAAAATTATAGATAATTTTTATTTAATGCATATTTATTTAAATTAATAGCTGCATAAAAATATAATTAAAATTTATTTAAATTTAATAAAATCATTTACATAAAGTATACGTATATATGCAATTGCATAAAAATTTAAATATTATTTCTTTAAATCTTACTCCTGCGCAGAATTAATGCAAAGAATATATTATAATAGCATAACATTCATTCGTTATCGGATGAATTTGATTTGCCATTCTCTTGATTCTCTGCACCCTGATTTTGTTATAAATTAGATAATAAGACGAAATATACCAATAGTATTACCAATACGGCAAAACATAATATTATTAAAAAAAGGCGCAAATGCTAATATAAGGTATATACTTACCAAAAAAGAACGCAATTTCCGTGTAAGATATCTTTCATCGAATTTGATCTTAACAATTTTGGGATCAAACAAGTTATGTAACACAGCTCATGTTACTGCATATTGATTTTTTGTTGGTAGCCGACCGAATACTTTCTTGGCAACTATCTGAAGATATGTCTTGTCATCATCTTTAATCATAGTATCCAAATTTCCAAAGCACCATTGAACCTCCTCACTCACCTTCCAAGAAATTATTTCAGATTCTGAACTTTCTGAATTAACGATTGGCAAAACTTTCTTTTTAAAAACGTAATCAAATATAGCACGCCGAAAAGATCCAAAAAGAGCTCCACGATATTTGCAGAATTCAGCGCTAATCTATATTTAAAATTTAGATTAAATGAATCGAAATAAAAAAAATTATATAATAAATCAATACTTACTGAATTTTCGATCTTAGTAAATGATAATTCCCATTTGTATCTTTCTTATACTGACACATTTTATCGAGACAAAGCGCTTCAAGTTCTTTTCGAATAGCTTGTTTGTAGATTTTATTGTTGGGGTAAAGCCAATTATCTATCACATTCTTGATACCTTGTACTGCTCCTTTCTAAGTTTAGTAAATTAATAAATAATTTTAATTTCAAAAATTCAATAATACCATTGAAAAATAAAATCAATAACGCAGGATCAATTTTTCTTTTCATATAGTATACCTGCCACCATTAGAGACCATGATCTTTTATATTTGACTTGAAATCTTCATGTGAAGATTGTAAAATTTTGACATCACTAACTAACTGAGTAACCAAAGCCTCCAAAGATTCTTGCTTTTCTATGAGCGAATCATTTTGCGTCAATACTTGTTTGGCCATTTCTAGTATCAATTTCATTGTTTTACTTTCTTCATTCGATACTATGTATTTCAATACAAAGTTAGTAATATAAAATCTCATAAATTAGTTACATTTTTAAAACTGACCGTTTTCCTTACCAACTGACAAATTTTCTAGCGTGTTAGTAAAAGATTCACTGAGTGGAAGTCGAGGTGGGCTTTCATTAATCTCATGAGAAGAGCTATGAATATCGTCATCAATATTATCAACGTCAATAGGGTCAATGTTATTTTTGGTTATAGGTGTAGACAACGCTTTCTTTGTGTTTTTAAGGGACTGAGTAGCAGCTTAATTTACATTTCGTGGCTTTTTTATACTAGAAAGAGATGGATTAGACCATAAAGAATCCAATGCCTAATAAAAAAATAAAAAATAAAAATACAAATAAAAAAATAAAAAATAAAAATACAAATAAAAAAAATAAAAAATAAAAATACAAATAAAAAAATAAAAAAAAATAAGTGTTTAAAGTTTATTTTTTTAATTATTTAAAAGCTCAACACTTAATAGTTACCAAAGAAACTTCGTTTTGTTGAGAATCTAATTTGCGTTTTCAACTTTTAAGAGGCATAATAATAATAATTAAAAAAAGCATTTTAAGATCTAAGGAAACAATTATAATTTTTAAGAATTGTTTAATATTAATTATGTAAAGATCAAATAACAAGCATCATATATACGTATATACAGATTATGCAATATAAAAAATCAATGCACGAGTTACTAATGTAAAGGTGAAAATCATTGTCATTGAGTTATGTCTATATAAGGTTATATTGCTTCGTAAAAATATATGATTGGATGGCGTTATACTTAATATGTATAAAGAATTCCATTGTATACGTACATATGTCGTATATAGATTTTTGTATTATGATGTTGGCAAGTCATATCTCAAAAATTTGATCGACTATTGATTGTGGACTATTAGAACTATTAACCAACACAAGGTTAATAACCGCTAAAGAAGTAAAAAAAATAAATGGAATAAGTTAATAACTATCCTTGTTGTTAGATTTGTTGTACAAGTTTACGATTGCTACAACAGCATTGGTTATTTGAGTAGACTAGTAAGAAAAAGTATTGCAAAGTTAAGAGAATAAAAAAATTATCTCTCTAAGTATTTAGGATCGAATTTTCTTCATTTAATAATGACTTGAAGATGCTAACAATATATAAATGTAAAATAACAAAGATACGTAGTAAACAAACAATTCGACTTTTGATATTTATATAAAATAACTGAGACTGATTTGTGTAATATACCAGAATATTGGTCTATCATTATGACTTAATCAGCTACTATTGTTCTCTTATTATATACTATCTAGAATATTCGAATATAATTATATCATTAAATTAAGTAAGATGCATAAAATTAATTATGTAATTAAAAGCTAAAATAAGCAAAAAATTCAAAAAAAAAAAAAAAAAAAATCAATGTTTGTTTTGTAATAAAACAAAAAGCCAAAAGTAACTGCATTCTCAAAATATCTTAATTTATATTGCAGTAAGTTGCTATTTAGTTAGAATATAAAATCAATATTTATTTAATTTTAAACTTATTTTTTTTTTCTTAGATATTTCATATTTATTTGCAGTGTGTGTAATGAAATATTTGGCCACCTAACGAGCCTTAAAAATCACAAAAAGGTTCATAAAAACCGTTATCAAATTGAAGATGAAACTAACAGTAGCACAAATTCTAACGAATTAGATAACTATAATATTGAAAGTGAACTGACAATAGTATAGATGCTTATGATTCTGACGAATTAGATATTATAAACAGGCAAAATAGCTATTCTGTCGAAGGTAAAATTGACAATAGTATGGATACATATAATTCTGACAAATTAGACAATTATGCAGAGGGTAAAATGAACAATAGTATGGATATATGTAATTCTGACGAATTATATGTTATAAATAGACAAAAAAATGAACTAACATTTGATGATCAAAAAAGTGCTGATGAATATAACCTGATATTTGATACTCAAAGTATTGCTAGTGAATCGAGTCTAGTATACAATAATCAGGAGGACATATTGGAAAATAGCAAGATCATTGATGAAGTTGATGAATTCCAGAGTGATAACAGTGAAAGTGAAATAGATAGTGCAGATTATAGCGAAAGTGAAATAGACAGTGCAGATTTTCCAAGTACTGCTTATCAAGATTTCATAGATATAGTAATTATCATATTTGCTAATTTAATCAAAATCTTTGGCTTTTAAATAATGCTTTTTTTTAATTTTAGGTAATCAGATATAATCTTTCTTATATGGCTAGTGATGCTGTATTAAAGTTTATAAAAAGATACGGTCAAATTTCAAAGAAAATTCTATCCCGATCAACAAAAGATGGTCTTCTTTTCTTGAACACATTGAGGAAGGACCATACGAAGTTTTATTTAACTCCTGTTGCACAAATTAAAGACCAGACGTATTTATTTGAATATAGGCCAATTATTTCTGCGCGGTTAAAGAGATTCTTCGATATCAAGAAATTACTGAAAATTGTATTTTTGATTATCAAGAAGTTTACACATTAGTTGAAGTAAGCAAAATTCTTATACAGCTATAATATTAACATATCTTTAATTTATGTTTACGCGTGCATCTTTTCCAATTTTGATTTAACTATGGTTAACCAATAAAAATATCAACACTTCCAATTTCGATTTAACTATGGTTTATCAATATAAATATCAACACAGTTTTTAAAAAAATAATAAGTATAATAACTTTAGTTATTAATACACAATTTGAAACCAGGCGAGATATACATAGATGTAAATTAAAAATGTATTAATTTTACAAACTGGTCTTCGTATCGGTCTTCATATAGATAGGCATATATATTAATCATTTCACTTATAGGGGCGCCAAGAAAGATTATTCTCAGAATTTTATAATTCTAAATGGTGGGGTCGTGCACAACAACACATTTCGCCTGGAAATAAGGTATTACCTATAATACTATACTCCGATGCAACTACACTAGATTGTTTAGAGAAGAGTTCACGGCATCCAATATTTATAAGTTTGAGTAATATTCCAACAACTGTTCGAAATAAAGCTAAAGCTAAGGCACTTGTTGGTATTATACCAACATTGCGAGGAACAAAGGAAGAACGGCAAACACCACAGTTTAGACAATTAATTCGATCAGTTTTTTACAAATGTATTAACATATTGATTGAGCCATTATGTTCACAGTATCATTCTGGAGTAACATTAAAGGTTAACAATTATAAATTGAGATGTAATATGATGTTAGCCTCTATTATCGGGAATTGGTCCGAAAACTGCAAATCATGCTTAACTTATAGTGGAGCTAGTTGTGCGCGTCCTTGCCACACATGTTTTGTAGAAAAGGATGATCTAAATGTTATTAACTTACCTGCTAATCATAAGATTACTAGAACCGAAATTCAAATGAAACAAGCCATTGAAATGGGACAAGGCAAAGACCACTCATTATATGAAGAAACTAATAGTTTTTGGAACCATCTGTAAGTGGTTTGTTATATACAATTTAAATAATAGCCTAAAAAAATTTTGCTTAAATATATACTTTATCTCCAACTACTATATTGTAGAAACTTTAATATTTATACAGCTACGGTCCCTGAACGAATGCACCATCTGGACCTTGGGCTCTTTTCATATATAGTCAGATTTATATGTGATCTTTTGAAAGTTCATGGTGGAAATACTCTTGTTGATAAAATGGATCAAAGGCTCAGATTAATACCATGTCATCCAGGGCTAAAGATATTTAGTACTGGACTTGCAGATCTTGTATTGTTTACAGTATCGGAATACAGGCACATGATGAAAGTTATGCCTTTTGTACTCGAAGGTCTTTTTGAAAGAAAAGAAAACGAAATGCTTGTCCAAATGTTTGTCAATTAGAATAAAATGTATTTTTATTCTAAACAAAGTAAATTTACTCAGACTGATATTGCTCAGTTTAAGGTTAGTGTATATAATAAATATTTTTTATTAATAGTATGTTAAACAATCAGATCTATACTAGTTAGCGATATAAACCAAATACGATTGAATTTTTACTTAATTTGGGTTCGGGAGTTGACACTTATTGATATTCCAAACTCGATTTGAAACCCAAACCCTGTGTCCATTTCTTTTTTTATATCTCAAATCTCAAGGGTTAATAAATTCTATAAAACAAATGAATCAGCTGGAAGTTCATCTATGAAATAGCGAGTATATCAGGGCGGCCCCCCCAAAGTTCGGGTCGATGATCGTCGTCGGATTGATAATTGATGTCGGATCGATAATTGAAATCACTCCTGCAGCTTATCAAGTAAATTAGGGTGGCCCTCCAAAGTCTGGGCCGATGATCGACCCGTACTTTGGGGGGGCCGCCCTGATATACTCATGAGATAGCTGCAGCATATTTTTTTTATTACTGTATTAACAGTACTTTCAAATTGTCACCCAACAAATATGTACATACGTCGATTTGAGTAAGACGAAGTAAATATGATACAGCAGGAGAATTATTTTCACAATAGTAGAAATAATTCCCCTGTATCACTAAGCAATAATGACATATTTATTTTACAATTCGCGCTCTAGTCAATTTTTGAATTTACTATATTTGGTTTGGTTTACATTCCTAATGCTAGTGATATTAATAGTGCTAGTTAGTTTTTTATTTATTTATTATTATTGTTTTTTTAATAGATTTTGATTCGAACATGGGCAGAAAATTTTAAAGACATTCTTGGCTCATTTACAAAAAATGACTGTCGGTTTTTAAAATTTCACTATTGGATTCATCATACAATTGAAACAATTGAAAAATATAGAAATCTAAATGGATTAAGTGCCGAAACATATGAGGCGCTTCATAAGGAGTATATTAAACTTCCTTACAGAATGTCCAACAAATGTAACATTAATAATCAGATTTTACAAAAGGTTTATTTATTCATTTAATTCGTACTTCTATTTAACTGTTAATTTGTACATACTTATATGCTAATTTAGTACTAATTTAATGCCTGTCAGGTAATATGAACGATTAAAATTAGAAACATTTATGAACGCATTATTTCGGAAAATTACCAATCAAAAATCAAAAAAGATCTAGGAAAATTTGGAAAAAAATATTGTACTATGCCGTTACGCCTTCTAAAATCACTTGTTGAATCATATAAGCGTGACGAAAGAAGCATTTCTGAAATTCTTGAAGGTTTATGCTATCTTGCTTTTGCGATAAGTAACTATTTTAAACTTTTGCCTTCTATGTCTGGAAAGAACATAGAGAAAATGGAAGCAATATTAATTTTATATAAATCATTTGCATTATCTAATAAAGAGCAAGTAAGAGCTACAAAAGATTATTATAATGCACCTATGTTTAGTGCTACAAATCAACAAAAATTTTCCAATCGATTAGTTGACAACCCATTTTACCCAACTAATCGATTAATCGATTTTATTTCAACTAATC